CATGTGGTGGTCATGGTTATCTGATGTCCAGCAATCTACCAAAGATTTTTGCGACTGTCACAGCATCGTGTACGTACGAGGGCGAGAATACCGTACTTTGGCTTCAAGTTGCGAGGTGAACATCTTCTTCATGATGTGAAAAAACTCTTGACATCGTCTGAGTAACTCGGATGATCATTCCTAAAATATTGTCTTTGGTACTAAAGGAAGCTTTGCGCTTTGGCAGGAATATCGTGAAACCAGAATTTTTGGCGGAACAGAAACCTTCGTCTCTCGAAAGTGTTGCGAAGATGTCAATAATTTCTGCCAAGGGTATTTTGGATGTCGATGTTGCCGTGGAAGCATTCCGGAGTATCACCATTGGGTGAGTAGATACTGTAGCCTTTTTTTTAATTTTAAATCTGATTTTAAAATTGCTGTACTTTTAAACCGAATTATGACGTAGGGGTTACTTTTTACACTCCATGGTATAAATACGGCTATCCGTTGTATTTCTTGCATCGAAAACACTTACCTGGAAACTCTCAATTTTGTGAACTTCTGCGATTCGTTCTGCACGGATTTATAGACGAGTGACGGAAGCATTGGACGAACTTGAATGTCGTAAAATGGCTGGCATGGCACCCGAAGTGGCGTGGAATTCGATTGCCGTGCGACTTGTGGCTGCTGCTGAATCATACGCTAGGCATTTCGTTGTCAAAACATTCGTACAAGGCGTCGAAAGGGCTCAACTCTCTGCCGGAGGAGCTCGAATTTTGCAGTCTTTGTGTCGATTATACGCAGCGTTTTGGATCCGAGAGAACAGTGGGGATTTCTTGAGAGTGAGTACAGATTGTCATCGGTTTTAAAATTGCTAGTGTCACCAGTTCAGTTGGCTACTCGTGTTTGTGTTCGACGGAAATTCCATCTAATGTGCTTCAAAATTCCATATTTCAGGTATGTTACATTTTTTGTACGAAATCACAAGTTGGTAAATTTACTTGAGCTGTTTCTGTTGAGAATTGTCGTCAAGCTGTGTTATTGAGAACATGACGCAGCTAAATGAACTGAAGTTCTCTCGGGTTATTTACAGTACTTTTGTATGTCTTCAACCATTTCCGGTTGAATTTTATTCATGTAAATCGACAGACGAAATGACTCTACGTTGAAGTTGAAGAGATCGGAGGCGTCGAAGATCATCGTGACAGTTAGTTAATCAGAATACCTTTTCTTCTTTAAAAAATTTTAGTATTCCGGGTTTGATCGCACCGACCTTCTGGAAGTGGACAGATGCGTTGAGG